AAAGGCTAGTGAATGTAGTAGCGGATTTTTTTACAGTAACGCACCAAAATTTCAGCCATTTTGAACGCGTAGATGTTATTTAACAGTCGTTTGAGTGAGGCAATGTGAGTGTTTTTGTGAAAATGGAAAAAAATGAGTTTCGAGCTGTCATAAAATTGTTGTTTTTCGAAGGCAATTTACCTAATCAAATCAAATATGAGTTACATGTACTCGTACTTTGTATATGGTGACTCTGCACCGTCATTCACCATAGTAAAATTTTAAGCATTTTTAGAACATCTTAATTCCATAAACTCTAAAATTCAATTTACTATGGAGTTAGAGGCAAATAATTCCTTACCTTTCCTAGATGTGTTAGTCATCCGAAAACCTAACAACACCATTGGTCACACTGTGTATAGGAAAAAAGACCCATACAAACCGATATTTAAACGGTGAATCTCACCACCATCCTTCACAGTTAGCTACCGTGGGCAAATCTTTGTTACAGAGAGCACGAGGGAATCTGTGACAGCAAACACCTGGCCGCCGAGCTTGAGCACGTCAAGCAAGTTCTGCACGACAACAAGTTTCGGGTCCCGCGGCTACGTCACAGTGACCGAGTGAAGCCGGCCACAGTCGAGCGTGTGCCTGCTGTACTACCATATGTCAGAGGTGTCAGACAAGAATGGCTACATCTTGAAGCGAGCTTCTATTAGAACATTCCACAAGCCGCCGAAGAAGATTAGTCAGTTCCTACCATCAGTTCGGTGTCATATTCCTCTACAAGGATGCTCTTATACAGGACAAACAAAAAAGATCAAGTACAACCCGCGTAAAAGAACATATAGCTAATGTGAAGCATCAACATTCCGGGAAGTCCGCAGTTTGTCATCATATCCTAGACGGCCCCAACCGTTAAATCAGATTTGATAGACCACAAATCCTCGCTAAAGAACACCGATTCCTACCAAGGATGATACGTGAGGATACTGAAATTAAAAAACATCCTAATTTCAATAGAGAAGGAGGCTGGGTACTACCACCTGCTTGGGACCCTATATTCAATAAAATTTAAACTAAACCCAAGCATACCACTGCAAGACCCCAAGACATAGTAAGTTCATTTTGCACAGATCGGACCATAAACAAAAAATATAAAAGCTGAAGGTACTCCGGTTTAAACAATGACATCGGGAAGTCAGTCACCTCAGTCCCTCGTGACCATAGGTGCTGGAAAGCACCCAAAACGTCGGGAATTAAAAATAAAATAATTAAAATTAAACGCGATAAAATCCGTAAAAGTATATTTAATCAATAACTTATTAAGCTAAGATCTGCGTAATAAAATAAAATTAAGTATCTTACGTAGTTTGAAAAGCAAATTTTTATTGTATTACGCTATTTATTAACACCTTTAAATGAAAAACGATTGATCTAAAAAAAATAAAAAAACTGTACCTTAATATCTGTGCGTAGCGAAAACAACGTTATAGTCTTTCAAAAGCCCACTGCTGATCACAAGCTTCCCCGCAGATTGTCATTTTGAAAATATTTGTCATAGTTACAACGTCTAGCATGGCAACTGCATTTTTTATTTTTTAGTTGTCAATGACGTAAATAATTTTGTCTTAATGGACATAGTAGCGTGACAGACCGTAATCCTGACCTCGCCTCACTCGCTTCTTTCACTTCCTTATATCTACGTATACAAGCTCAGCGATTAAGGGTGCTCTTAACATATTTTCCTTATATTCCTCAGAAAATATAAGGGAATAGATTCCAAATTACTTTACTCTCGTTCTTCTACTAATTTTCATACAAGCATAAACTGTGTAATACAATTTTCAAAGAGATTTTGTCAAAACCATAGTAGTATTGCTCTTAAATGTACACCCTTATTTATTTTGTTGATTGAAATTCATACAAGCAAAAAGTATTTGGTATTGTCATAAATAAGAAGAAAAAGTGATTAAATTTATTAGAGGATAATAAAAATTGAAATTCAATCAATCAATCAAATTTTTACTTGTAAATACAGGTAAAAAATATTGTAATTTGCATTCGTCTGGGCGGGATCTACAAATGTGGCGTATTTTAGGGCCTCATCACCACTTAACACCAGGTGGTGGCTTATTATAAGCCAGTGCTTGAATACAATCCACAATGGTTTTTTTAACTTATAATAAGTAAAAAATAACCATCATTGAATTAAAAATAATAATCATTCACTACATCAATGATTCCATTTAAAAAATTTTAGTTTTTCATATAAAACAAAGTGTTACGACCCTCAGTTGCCCCGACAGAAGTCGACTGGGCTAGGGCCCATCAGTAACCAAACTCGACGGGCAACCATAGGGTTCGGGCCCAAATGGCCTATGGATAATTATTATGTAATGGCTGGATAAGCAAACACAAACTTACCGAGTTCCGGACGTAGGGTCGACCATAAGGTACCGTCAGGGTCAAGTAAATGGTAGGTGTGAGTGGTGTAAGAAGGTGTGTAATGTAACCTGACGTCACCGATGTAATCGGCCAGCAGACCCACATGTGTTGCCCTGCTCCACAAGGTGCAATAACTCCAGTGGGCTTTACCGTTATCTGAACTCAAGTCTAACGTCACTTAGCACAAAACTATAATCGAAGAGGAACGCGATCTCCTCCCGGGTCACAAAGTTTTAGCATTCCACCCGACAAAGCAAAAATTCCTTCGTACGATATTAAAATATCACACAAGCAACTCGTCGACGCAAATTAATGGCAATCGAAGTTAAATTAATCACTCAAACTGAAGGAAAGCCTCGTTGTCACGTATACGAACAAAATAAGACAACGCAAAGGATTTGGTCTTAACGCGACCTAACGATTCTAACGTAACTTTCCGACATCTAACCGATACGGCCGTCGCGGACAATTGATTTTTCCAGACTAATTGGCACGACCGCAGCCTGCAAAATGAATGCTGCCGGCCCAAACCGTCAAACAGGTTTATCGCCCGAGACGAGCGTTTTCGCAAGTTTTAAGTTGTTACGATTTGGCCTAAACACAAAGCATAGATCACTCCTGGCATCACTCTCTGTCTGTTCGTGAAGTATCGTCACAATCAGTTCAGCCATCCCGAAGATCAGACCGAACAGACAGACAGGCAAAAATGTTACAAAAGGTTAAGTTATGAATAGGACTTAATAAAATACCCTCACAGCTAGATAAAGGGCAACTATTTCGACATTACGTATTTAATATTATTATGTAAGAAAACCTATTTATAGTGGAGGAGGTCAAACTTATTCCTCTGTTTATTCATCAACCTGTAAAAGTCATAAGCCGACAATGGAGGCACCGATAGGCTGTATAACAGCGCTGTGGCTGTATCAACTCTGCTGCTGCATTGTGCTGAGTCTGAGGCCTTTAAGTTGATGTTACCCAATATATTTATAATATTATAGTTTTTTTTTTCGACTTTCTAATGTACTTAGTGTTACAATGTAAAATAAATCAATTAATTTATTAATTCCATATCAGTTGAGCAGATTGGCTAGATGTCTGTAGGCTGGTGTGGAACGAGCTCAACCATAGTTTTTACACGTAATACAAAGTTTAAATTCAACACTCAAAAGCAAGTATCCAACTTCAGAATCATTACAGAAGTATAATTTGTTTATATGCGTAAGTTTGATCTTGAAATATTTTACACTATACGCCCCTGTACAATTAATCTATCCTGCTGAAAGTTTATTACGTTTCAAGGGACATGTGTTGTTGACAGATCGGCATAACTTTAAATGCGTCCATCTTCTGTAAAGGCATTTTAATTTTTCGCTTCACAACATGATCGCTTTATAATGATTGGATTTTGGAGATCTATATTTAATTAAGTTTTTAAAGCATTAAGCAAATCAATTTCAAGTTATGAAATTTCTAAATTTTTGAAATTTGTTTTGACTAGTTTATATATCGCTCTAGCCTTATGTCCCATTGCTGGCCACAGGCTTTCCCACATCTTCTTCGTAATATTTATTCCTCATACTTCTGAGCAGGACTTCATAACATGTTCTCGTAATATTTTATTCTTGATATACGATCTCCTTCACCATCGCACGTGGTGCAGGTGTGGCGCACGTTTCACAATTGCTATAATCAGCAATTATAGCAATTAAAATGAAATTATTAAAATAGCTATTAATAACTTCATTTTAAATTACAATTTTAAATGCTGATCGGAAATTGAACCCGCGCCTCTTTACATTTTGACTTAAATGATAGCAGAAGAGGATTGGACAATTTCAAAGAAGTAGGTATAATCCGGCTTTAATTATTACTATTGTTATTATTATTATAAGTAAAAAATAGTAATAACAGCTAAAAAGTTGATGCGTGTGCGTCTTAATGTTTGGAGATTTTATCTAATCTGTTCTTGAAGGCATTCAATGTAGGAGCATCAGTCACATTTTGCAGTAGCTTATTCCACTTGGTGACAACACGATTTGTTATAAAATTCTTCATAGGATTCCGCAGCCCTATGGCAAAGTTTAAGTTGATGTCCTCTTTCAGTTTTTTCAATTCAGACGTTTGTTGCTTAATTACCAGCGGATCTGGTTGAAATTTTTATGAACTTGCTGTAAAAGGTAAAAGAGTAATCTGTTAATAAACTTAATTAACGAGGGAAAAACGTTGTTTAAAAATAAAAACAATAAATAATCTACACATATTTTAATAATTGGGGTTTTAAATCTTCGATACGTAAGAATCATGCGAATATCTATAAAAATAATAGCGATATAAGAATTACATTCGAATTGATAACTAAAATCAAAATAAATAAGAATTAAATTATTAATCTTTTCTTTTATGAACCTCTTTTAAAATAACCTGCGAGTATTCAGATTTCTTATAGCAATATTATACACAGACTATTCCGAGTTTATATATAAATATAGTTATAGTGTGTAGTAAGTAAACAAAACGTACATTTTGCGTGCATTATTTAACATGACGATTCGCTACTGTAGCATCTCTGTTCATATTAATACACCTCTTAGTACCAAACCTCGACAAGGTTGAGCTTTTCCACTGCCTACTGGTTCATCATGAGCGTCCGCGTACTGGATCACTAGCATACGTCTTGGTCTCGTGGAGAGATTGGGTGTGCTGCCATGAACTAGAAGGTAGTAGAATACAACAACGTCACCACGTTGAACAGTAACTGGCGTCCCCTTTTCTATTGGAAATTTACGAGTACTCTGAAAATTTAAAATCAATTAAAATAATTTATAATTTTATGTGCTTAAGGTTTAAAAGCTTTGGTAGCAATGGGGTGATAAAATATAATAGAATAATTTTTATTCAATTTAGATTACAAGAATACTTTTTGAAAGTCATTTTGGCTTCTTTTTATAACCTTTATATATCTTTACTACATATCGTATATATATGCGAAATACCACTGACTGATTGACTCATTATGAGATATTTTTATGACAAATTAGTATGGTTACTCATTTCCAAATGTAGAACGAATTTTACGAGATTACCATCAAAAATATTCATAGTATTTTACATCTAGGTCCCGCAGTAAAATATTATCGTGAACCCAGCGAAACGGGTATCAGCTTGTATTATATGTTATACATTTAAATAAGAAAAAAATTTGAAACAGCATTTCCACGGCTTATTTTCATATACTCTTTAGTAGTATGCTAACGCGTGTTAAACAATTTTATCTTTTTTGGATACCACTATTTTGCTTTGACAACTGATTACAGCAATGAACCCTACTGTGCTCCTTTAAAATTCAATTTTTCAAAGGCAATGTTGTTAGAAGATACGATATATATAAGATATAGATAAGATATAGATAAGATAGATGTACTGTTACAGCCTAATAAAGTTCATTGCTGAATATAGGCGTATATAGCCTCATAGGGGATATTTGCCACCCTTGCTACGCTTAGGAAGCGGGTTGGCAATCGCAGTTTTTTATTTTTAGTCGTTGTTAGGAATAAGCTGTTGTCCGTCACCTGATTTTTTCCCTCTTACCTATTACGACATCAACTATGGGTTAGTGGGTATTCTTACACCGCCGCTACATGGTGCATCCACTAAGTAGATGTAAGAAAAGGACAAAATTTTAGTTTGCTATTTTACTTTTGTTCGCCATGATAAAACATTAGATCTAATTTATCAAATTAACTTATTTAAATTAATTAGAAAGGTTAGTTTCTCATTCGAAATTTGCCTTTGAATCAACAGACAATAATTTCTATAAACTTTTATTTAAATATCAGTGTAACGTCATTACTGACCTGATCTACATAGTGGAAATGTTTCGTTTCCCGTCCACCAACATCGTTCAGTGGTCCTAGCTTATGTGACCCTGGGTAGACAAAAATGCCTCCGTAATGATTTCTTAAATTTACGCGAACACTACACATCGAATAAAACTATTATTTACGGATTTTATCGCGTTTAATTACTTTAATTTATTTTTGTTATCCCGACGTTTCGGGTGCTTTACAGCACCCATGGTCACGGGGACTGAGATGTTTGACGTCCCAATGTCATAGTTAGTTCGGCTACCTTCATTTTTGAATATTAATTTTTGGTCCGATTTACGCAAAACGAGCTTATAGTATCATGAAGTCTTGCAGTGGTATGCTTGGGTTTGGGTTTAATTTTCTTAATTGTCGGATCCCAAGCAGCTGGCAGCACCCATTCATCTTCTCTATTGAAATTTGGATGTTTTTTAATTTCAATAGCCTCGCGTATCATCCTTGGTAGGAATCGGTGTTCTTTTGCGAGGATTTGTGGTTTATCAAATCGAATGTAATGGTGGGGACGATCTTGAACATAGTCGCAGACTGCAGACCGACACTCCGGGAAGTCTTCAGTCTGCGAACATTAGCATAAAGTATATATAGTATATATTGCATCAACATAAAGTATATATTGCATAACAACTCTCAACTACCCTTAAATATTGATTTTTGTTAAGCAAATCAGAAGAAAAAGCGCTCCAAAACTATTTCATCAGCGTGCGCTGGCGTTGGTTTTTGATACATAAATACCTGTTCCAAAAACATATAGCTCTTTACACCATATAAAAAATCCGCAATACCATAGGCCTACTTCTAATACATAAGCCACATTAATTATTAGGTATTTTGTGACTAAAATCAGATGTATCATGTCGGAAACTGTCATAAAACTGCGGGGCACAGATAATTAATAAAGTATGACAACAAATTTTATAATCTTTAAAATTATATCTTGTGTTACCAAATACACTTTTAATTTATTAAGTAAAATTAATTGCAACAAGTTCTTGGAATCAGTTTTATACAAGGAGACAGAGGCATTTCTTTTTTGAAATTTTTACTTAAATTAAATTCCTTGAACGAAGAATATTTTCGAATAATTTCTCCACGGTCATCATTGCATTGTACGTTAGTCTATAAGATGTACTACATAATTATATTTAATTATTAAACTAACCCAGAGAGGTCGGTCGTCGACGATTCGAGCCGCTCTGCGCTGGATGTGGTCAAGTGGAAGGAGCTGGCACTGCGTTTCCCTTTTAATATATTAAAAATTTATTAGATTGACTTTTTAATAAAGCGCCCCTTGCTTGCCGTGCAACTCATTTTGTAATTATTTTATTTAGAAGTCTTAAATCTTCTAATCAAATCCGATTTCAATACTTACAAATAATATTCACCACTGCATAAAATACGTTATGACGTTTTCTTTAAAAATTCTGTTATAATATGGAAATTTCGGTAAATTGGACGTTTTGCTGCTTCTAATAATACTTTTAGTTACAAACGTGCCCCACAGTGCAGCTCATAGACACCAACTACAAACTACGACCAACAGAGACAGATGGAGCGCTGCGTTTTTTTTATCCTTTTATTGGATAGTGTAACAAAAGAGCACACAGTCCACCTGGTAAATGGTTGCTGTGGCCCATAGACATCTACATCTACCCTCGATTACGAATTAAAGTGTTGATGCGTTGTCACCTGAGAGGATTAAGATAGAATGCCTTGTTTCCAGTAAAAAGCGTCTCCAATTATCTACACTCACCATACGAAACACAACAACATTAAGTTACAATTTTACGCTGGTATTCTATGAGAACGTGGTCCTTCCCCGGTCGAGTCGACCCATTTGTGCTACAACTATACTACTAATATAACTGCAGCATACCTCCACCACGTATAAATGTTATCCTATCTTATCTTTCTTTTTTTCTGTTTATTAGGTAGCAAATAACTACATAGTATAATGTTACACAAATAATGTAAGCTTTATGTAATAATAAGAATATATACGTAGACAAAAATACTATCTACATAATAACAAATGTGAACATAAACATAAATTATCGGACGCGGTTTGATGCTAAGCAACAGCTGATCTTGAGTATGTAGTCAGGTATAGTCGCCAGCAATGAGATGCAAACACCTATGCTTAACTTTATTATAGTAATATTAAAGTTTGTACTTAGTTAAAGGTGCACACATTCCAGTGCCAGTGACTGCATGTAATACAATTTTTTTATCATTTTTTATTATTATATTAGAGTTTTTGGTCTGAAACTATAAATAAAAAGGATACAGAATAAAATGAAATAGAATAGAATACCTTTTATTCAACATAGAAAAATACTAATAATTATTTATGATTTTGCCAACGTCTTCGTCCTGGAAAGAACCAGCAAGAAACCCAATAGGTCATTATTCTTAAATATTAGTTTAAAATATAATATTTTATAATCGCAATTAAGTACGAAGACGTTTAGAAACAGCAAGGGAGCGATCACCTCCATTCAAGGGAATATTATCAAACATACTATAAAGTACATAGTAGTATAATTACCCATAATATCGTTGTTATTTTTTAAAGATGCTTAAGAAAAAAGCGCTGTAAGATGCAATGTTACTTCTGAACACTAATATGAAAATAACTAACAAAGTTAAAAATATACTAACTTAATTTTATTAACTGGAAATGTGACTGCACTGCTTCTTTACAGTAAAATAGATATATAGCAACAAACACAAATTCATTTTGAGGAACAAAAGTAGTCTTCTGCTAAAAGTAATCGCTCAAGATCACTAAAAAGACGTATGCGTCGTGAAACGAGAAAAGATTCTAGCTCTGGCAACACAACGTAAATATAATATATGAAAAAGAATTAAGCACTTTTAACTACTTATTTAATAACAGCTCTTGATGTTACTCCATAAAAATAAAAACTGGTCTAGAGCTAGAATTTCTGAAATGTTTACATTGTAAATACTCTGATTAATGTAATACTCTTACAAAAAAAAGTGTTTTAACTCACCTCAGTAAATAGAATGATCCAAATACAGAACCTAATTACAATTGCGAGAAAAATTGATATTACGGCAATAGACAAAAAGGTTTTTATGTATTATTCTTATTATGTATTACTGACGTGACATAAAAACAAGTTTTGTTTACATTTAAAAAATTGCTATCGACAAGTTATTATAATCCCATATATATATATTTTATCTTAGTATTACGAAATGATTGATAATACAAATCACTATTATTTACTTTTAATAAATATATGTTAACCGAATTCAAGATCTTTTTTGTCTTCTTCTTTTAAAATAATTTCAAAGTATTATGGGAATTTTTTTAAATAGATCCTTTAAAGTTTTTTTTAAAACCTTAGATCCCATTTGAAATTGAAGAAAAATTAACACCCAAAGATTAGAAAATTGGTGATGAAAATTTAAATGCTTAATTTAGATAAGTTTACGTTTAACATGAAACTAATTTTGCGGATTTCAAAACAAGTGTATTACGTGGTTGAGCATTCTGCAGCTACATAATGGTTGTAACTTGAATGGGGGAAGGGCCTAGCTCTCACCGAATACCTGCGTTAAGTAGCAGAATAACACTGCTGTGCTTCATACATGAGTGCAGAGAACTTTAGTTTCTTCCGGACATTTTTACTAGGAATAAGCATCCCATATTAGTCCTTAGAGGTGACATTGTATCTCCATTTTTTTCTTAATCGAGAATAGATATAGATGTCTATGGGCCACAACATTCACGTGCCGTGAGGTAAATAGTGTGCTCGTTTGTCTCTCTTCCTGTTCTGTAAAAAAATTAAATAGTAGTGTCCGCGTATATGTGAGAAATTATTACGACATGAGGTTATGATATTGCTTAGTCTACTAAAATCAAAATAAAACCACTTAATTTAATATCTTCTGAAGTCTGTGCCAAAATAGTACATCTAACAAGTAAAGCCAAAATTATATTTAAATTTAATAGGATTTGAAAAAAATACACAATGTCTTCTTAAATCGATTCAGAAGACAAATTTTTACTTCCTTTTTCAGTTTAATTATTAGTTAATATAGTAAAAAAAGGAAAGCATCTACATCAAAATCAAATCAAAAACAGAACACACATCTATGAGCCTATAAAATCCTACAGTTAGAGATTGTTTCACCTTAGTTATTTTTGCTGGTTAATATTATGAACCTGATATTAGTATTTCTCTTCTCTCCTCCTTCCCTCTCTATCTCATGTAACGTTTACACTCTACGTAAACATATTAAATATCCTGTGATTTATTACAATTTCCACACAACTACGCAATGCCACTATTTCCTTTTTTAGTGCAAGTGATGAGTAGTCGAAGATAATTAAATATGCATTATTAAGGATAGCTCAAAAACTACTGGTTAGATCTTGATCAAACTTTAATGGAACCACATGAGAAGCACCAGTTTTATAATAAAAAAGCCATCAAAATCGGTTCACCTATAAAACGTTCGCGGTTAACACAGAAAAAAAAAACAGTAGAGTTGAAAACCTCTTCCTTTTTTGAAACGTTGATTCGATTGAAAATTGAGGGCGAACAAACACACAGTCCACTCGATGGTAAATGTATATATTAAACCTATTTTTCTTTAACCGCACATATCATACGTTTTGTACTAGTCATTTTTATTACCAATTTCCATCATCAGTACTGTTCGGGTATTGGACGTATGTTTAATAATAATTAAACTTTTATATAAAAACAGTTTAATAAAGAAGTAAAAAATATAAGATTAAAATATGTTAAAAAATGTTAAATGTTAATGTTATGTTAATGAGCTCGCGTCCGTCGCGGTTACGGTGATTACGTGAACTAACACAATTTTTATAATTGTCGAACTATATCGATTGCTTCACGTAAAATGTTAACGCCAGCAGAAATGTACGGTTGGACCGTACAAGTACAAACCCTTCACAAGCCAAATGATGAACATAGGCCTCCCCCAAGGAATACCACAAATAACGTCCTAAGTCACCCAAATCCATCGACTTCCTGCATGTCTGCACGCCACTTAATTCCACAAGCTTGCCACTCAAGAACCCTTCTTCCCATCGGTCGTTACATATTGTACTAGTTACTTTTAATAAATATTCCCCCAATATTTGCTTTATAATTTTCTGTATATTTGATGTAATGTAGTATTACGCATGACAGAGAGATATTCCAACAAGCGTCGCAACTCAACAGCCCTAGACAATGTAGGTATGCAAGCTCCAATAGATACCCCTTTGTACTCGGCGCAAATGCATTTTACGGTATGTGCACTTACCTCTAACACCCATTTTAGCTATCACCAATTTAGACTTACTTCTCTGACAAACCACTTTATTTAATGAAATATCTCTGATTCTTCCCAGGACTTAGGATTTTCCGAACCACAAGTAAAATAACTTTTAGTAAGAATTACATTTAGTCTATATTTAATAAAAATGAATCTATTCCATTCTATCATTCAAGCTATAAACAGACAAACTAAAATATTCAGTTCCTGGCTCTATACTGTCAGTTAACCTCAATTGGTAGAATTTATTTTCTGCGTAAAATTCTGTCTCTGGCGAGACGATATAGGGTAGTGTATATTCTTAAACCGCCACTACAGGGCCTAATCGAAATTATACCATTACCCCTAGGGTCTGTTTTAATAAAGTCCCGTAGAAAATTAGATGTAAAAGTAGTTTGACAGCAAATGTCAGATTTTGCGAAGACCGGCTCGGCTGAGAGACTTTTTTCATGACAAACACTCTTTTTAAACACGACACTATCAATATTGACCATGTTTTATTATAATAACGACGAGGGCGGTGAAAAAGAATAAGCAGGATTCAGGGTTAAAATTTCATAACATAATAGTTAGTAAACTTAAATTTTTGATACTTGCTGATAAAATTGAAATTGAAGATGTTAAAAATCAATAGAAAACTAAAGTGTATATATTAGTTTTTTTAAGACATGGAAGTTAAGTACTACAGATGAGATATTTTTGTTATCAGTTACATGATCTATACGTACCAGACCAACATGCGATACATAAGTGGGTAGTAGGTAGGACCAGCAATGACCATTTTATGACCAGCGAAGAAAGAATAGCAGTTAATGACTTAAACCTTATTAATAGCGAATTGATTACTAATTCGAAAAACGAAGGGGAAAAAACCACCAAATCAATATAAAAGAGGACAAAAAAAAAGAAAAAAAAGGCAAAAAAAAAAAACCACATTATCAACACAAATGTCAATTACCGCTTGTCACGTTGCACGCATTTATCGCCACTCGCAGTAAATAGCCCTGTCACTGCCGCTGTCAGCAATGCACGTGCTCTAATTGAATTTAATTCATGTATAATATTGTGATTTCTAATTACTTTTGCTAATTTATATCGTTTATATGATTCTGATTGATTAAAGTTTTGATTTGATTTGAGTAAAATTAGTTTTGAAAGCCTATCAAAATAACTAACCAAATCAGAATGATTTGATTAGTTATTTTCGTATAACAAAAACACAATTTTTTAAATTTTTGTCTGACTGTCTGTTTGTTCCGGCTTATCTCTAAAATGACTAAACCTTCACTGTCAGATTTTTGATGTTACAAGGAGTAACTTAGACTACTTTTATTTTAGAAAAGCAATTAGGGTTCCGCGCAAAAAAATAAAACTGAAATCCAAACGTGATAAATTACAGCGAGCGAAGTTGCGGGGAACAGCTAGTATTTAATACAAAATAATCATTTAAATGTTTTCGCGTAATTGGTGCAAATGAAAATAACTTACCAAATCATCATGATTTGGTAAGTTATTTTCATTACAGCCTATATATTTTATGAGCCGTAGTAGCCTACATATTTTTTGATTTCGTGGTTGCTTGTATATTTTTCGTGGTGGTTTATATATTTTTTGAGCCGTGGTAGCTCAGATGGTTAGGGCTCGCTGTAAATTTCAGAATACGCGAGCAAACCGGGTTCAATCCCCGCCGGCACCAATGAAATTGTTAATTGCAATTTTAAGTACTCATTTACCACGTGCTCGGCGAAGGAAAACTCACCATCTGAAAAAGAATAAAAAATCGACCAACAGGCCTAACCCTCTGACCCTTACTTCTTTACTTTACTATAATTTGTTACATTTCATTCATAATTACACTGTAATATACTTTGTAGTAGGAAGAATAAACATAACTCACCAAATTCCTTTCTAAGAACGGATAAAAAAATTACAGTTGCCAACCCTCTTACCAAGCGTGGCAACTATGTCAAGTATCCGTATCCAGCAGTGTACTGTAATAGGCTGTAACGATAACGGTATCTCAGCCTATAAAAGCCCATTGCTGAACATAGGACTTGCCCATAGTTTTCTGATATGTAGATTATAGAATGAAAGGCGACAGTAGCCTAATGGCAGGGCACGGACCGTGAACTCAAAAAGTTCGTGGGATTGAATTCGCCATTCGACATGGCGTGAACCACTCGTAACACAAGCAATTTAAGCTTACCACGAGTGGTTAAGGGGAATATCAGTAATGTTTATAGAATTGTTAATATACTTTTAAAAAAGAAAAAAAGGTTGACAAGCGAGCACACAGTCCACCTGATTGTAAGTGAATATTGTAGATCATACACATCTACATCTATCCTCTAGGAATCAAAATGCAGATACGTTGTCACCCCAGAAGACTTAGATGTATTGTCTCGTTTCCAGTAAAACGGGACTCCAGTTCTCTACACTTGCCGTAAGAAACTCAGCACTCACTCAGTGCATACTCTTCGAAATGTTTCCTGTAAAAACCCGAAAGTCTGGCTTCGCGCCTGCGTTCGAGCATTCGTGACAAACAGATGTCACCAAATGACTGCCGTGGTAAAGCTATTGCATAGCACATTATTTTATTTATGCAGTTATGTCTTACATATTATATTAAATCAAGTTACACTTTTTGAGCGTGGTGACCGATAAGAAAACAATTTTTTTCTCCTATTGAATAAATGAGAAGTTAATATTGTTTAAAATATTTTTAATATCTTACAATACATGTAGGTTATTCAGGAATTTTTATCATTGAGTTAGCAGCTAGTGTACACGCATACGTCTAGTCGCACGCACACAAACATCGTGCCGAACTCTGCCGATTGCCGAAGGCTGCCGAACTGAAACGACGTTAGACGATGCACGGCTTTCAACGCCACACCTCCGTGCCCGTCGGAGTGGCGAGCGTGAGGTTTTTTTTCGTTACGGAATTTCTGGATTCGGTCCCCGCGCTCAAGGCCCGCGATAGAAGCTATGCAATAGCTTAAAAACCTCTCGATACGCCTATCCATTGATTTCAAAGCCGCTATTTGGTATTATATTGCACCGACCTATATATGGCAGCAATACTCTATACACTTAGTAGAAATAAGGCCTGAAATACACTCGTATTTTGAACACTATAAAGGAATTACAAACGAAGAGTTACCTAGTTAGCGTATAGTTGGGAACCGGTATTAACAACAGCAAACATTATACTTACTAAGCGAACTAAACGTAGAAGACTTATATAAGACAAATTGCTCTACAAATGTTTGGATTGTCGATGCATACAGTTTGACGTAATCAGTAGCAACGGGAAATTTGTAAGTAATTCAAAAATAAAGTTATAAGATACTCTTTCTTTTACTGCCGTCTCAGAATTTTATTTTATGCCCTTTTTTATTCTGTTATATGCTCTTTTGCTAACTTATTTTATATGAATGTTACGCGATATCTTCACAATTTTTTAAAGGATTTATATAATTATTTTTCGAAATAGGTAACACGTATATGTCGCAGCAAACTAGCTTTTACTCTCAACCCCCTAGCGGCCGTATTCCGTCAAATCCCTAGCGCCCACTCTTCTCTCTCTCTCTCTCTCTCTCTCTAAATATATTATATGATAATATATTTAAAAATTATATTTCATCGCTTCATTCTTCAGATATAATATTAACAACGTAGTTAACTTATTCTACAAGGCTAAGTCGCACCTTTTAAAGATTTTTACTCTACCCACATCAAAACAATTGCCCGTTCCCTCTAACGTCCCTCGTCGTCCGAGCGTACAGCCTCATTTCTTTTTCGTGCGAGGCAGAGTGCACACCTTATTTAATTATCTTAGAACAGTACAATGGCGAAACGCAGTGCTGCAGACAAAATTGGTTATTATCAAAAGAAAAATAAAAACGACATAAACGAGTCATTGTTTACTCCGAATTTCTGAGGCCGAAGAAAATTTTGGTAATCGAATTACGTAACGGTAACATTGATATCCGACTTCCATCACTCTGAGACCCAAACCAGAATTAAATTGGTGACACCCGGATTAGACAAGTCTATTTTTACAGTCATTCATGAGAGTGAAAGAGATAAAACTCTTTTTGGCAATGAGCTTCCTGAAAAGATTAAGGCTTCAAAATCCATCGAAAACAAGGTCTTCAGATTAAGAAAACAGACCCAAAACCTTCCACGTCACAGATAAAAACAAGTTCGTCTTTAAGAAACAATCATTACCAGGAAAACTGGAGAGTTCTCGCTCGCAGAACAAGGGGGGGAGGGCCAAGGAAGTTGTCATCGGTGACCCGCAGAGATCTACCCTCCAAATAACTCAATGTAGATTATCTCATTCAACTTTGTCACCAAAAGATAAACAAAACATTTCTGTAGCTATAAGTAATTTATTACACTTAGGAGCAATATCAAAGTGTCATCCATCAAAGAATCAGTTCATATCCTCAGTTATCTTAGCACCAAAACCTAACTGAGACAAAAGATTTATTCTGAATTTAAAGTCCATAAATAAGTTCATTGCAAAATCTTACTTTAAAATGGAGGATTACAGAACGGCCTCAAAGTTATTACCTCGTAATTGTTACATGGCTACCATTGACCTACAGGCTTAATATACTATGTCTATATAATAAAATTAACCGAATGATTAATATACATCCGCTTAACAAATACAATTGCAAAAAAAGTTGACAGTTTGGCTTAAATCACAAACTTATGACGACATTGAAGATCTATTTACAATAAAAAAAATGAGCTGAGTCCTAAAATTTAAACTTAAATTAAAATAAAACAATATTAAATAATTATAAACACCTATTAACACGTTATTAGTTTGTTATTAAGTAGTAATTTGTAAAACGTTTAAGTGTATATTCTATGTTCATTTACTTAAAGGAAGAAACTAGCATTTAAGACACAGGCTTGGCCTAGTTTAAATGCTAGCAATTTTTATCTTATAGTGTACACTTTTCGTTCCAATGTTCCAAATAT